GTGTGTGTGTGTGTGTGGAAGAATAAAAAAAATCAGTTGATTGATTGACAGTTGACAGGCGGGGTCCAAAGAGCACAGCTCAACCCCCGCAAGCACAACTAGGTGACACTAGTTGTGCTTGACAACACACACTCTCACTTTACGCACCTTCATGCAGATTACTCGCTAAACCACATTTCGCAAGACAGTTTTCGCTTTGGTCTCAATATCACAATTTGCAGTTTCCTTTTTCTAGTTAAATGCGGAGGTAAGAAAGAGTGAAGCGAAGGGAGTAGACATGTGAGCATATTAGCATACTCTCACGTGAAGGATATACTGGTGAAATAAGTGATCTTTTTACTGTCATTTCTCGGCGTTACATATCGACCACAGGAAGTTATTGGTGTTGTGGTGGTTGTGGTTGCTGGTCCTGTGGTTGAGAGCCGAGTGCTGGTTAATGTGAATATATGTGGTTTTGTGTGTGTGAGTGTGTGTTTGCGTGGAGAAACGAAGGGTGTGGCTGAACGTACGTGTGTGTGTGTATGTTTGTATGTATGTATGCACGTGTATTCACTTAGATATGCTTGCATTAGGAAGTTGTGTATATAATTGGTTTCGCCTTCTCTAACCACTTTCATCTTTTCACAGCTCAAAAGCTGATGAATCCCTTTCTGGTAGTAATGTGACTCGGTGTGTAGGTTCCATATTAAGGGTCCTCGTCCTGTTATTTCTTATTAATGCTGCTTATTCGTCTGCTTCATAAATTCCATTTATAATCTTTTATGTCGTTATCACGTCCTCTCTATTCAATCCTTCAGGTGGTGAAGTCAAGGTATTTCAGTTTTATCTAACAAATGAATTTCTTCGACTAGGGGTGCATGATTTTTGTTTTGTATTTTGTTCAGGGTAAAAGAACAATGCCGGAGCTGCATTAATTAAGAATGGGTCTCACGTAGGTAGCATATAAGGATCGAAAGGTTAATTTTCTTTCGTTCATAAATCACATGCGGTCTCTCATCAGTTTCGTCACTTTTTTATATAACTGTAGAGTTAGATTTGGAATTATGTCTACTCTTAGATCCTTCCCTGATACAGGACGTTGCCTCCCTTTCAATCAGTACTGTTTCTGCAGTTTCCCCCCTCTGTTTCCGTTATCAAAACGTTGCTTTTGTTTGGGGTCAAAGTTCAGAAGTCATTTCTCCGTCCATCTCTGAAGTATGTACAGTTCAACTCATACTCATGTCCACACATAAACACAGTTACACACACACACACACACACACACACACACACACACACACACACACACACACACACACACACACACACACACACACATACACACGTGTGTGTGTGTGTACTCACTGAGTTATGTTTTCACAGGTTCAACCATAAACTCTTACAATCCCGTCTGCTGCCAGACACATAATGTGAGGAAACAAGTGTTATTAGCATGTTATTTCCTTGTTTATATATTATTTACATTACATAAATGTTTGTAATTTGCACGAGTGTGTACTTACTAAGTAGGGCACGAGCACAGAGCAGAGCCCCAGGGGGGTGTCTCGTAAGACGAGGAAGTGGCCATTCTGTTAGCCCTCAAGTCTCGTGCTGGGGCACTCGTAATTGTTCAAGTACAGACACCAACATTATGACACTTTTACCTGTGTGCTCATGAAGACTCGTTTTAGGAGTCGTTTTTCTGCACCTGCTTAGCTTTTGTTGGTTGCGTCTCTATTACTGTCCTTGTGGTCTTTACTGTAAACGTTTGATTGTAGTATACATGACCAATTTTTGGTATATGTAAGTTTAAGCATAATATCATGTCCAACTTTGCAGTAATAAGCTGCGAGTATAATTAAGCATAAATATTAACTAAACAGCTCAGACAATCAATATCACGCTCACGACGTCACTGCTAACCGCAGAATATAAAAAAAAGTCCTTCAGGCAATTATTTTAAATGGAAGTCTCTGGAGAGATCTTAATGTCATCAGAACATGGATATGAAGTGAACATGACTGCCAAGGCTTCAGCCGTGGCAGTCATGTTCCCACGTACACACCTTGAATATGAGGTGAACATGAGTTCCAAGACCTCAACCCACACGTACACACCTTGAATATGAGGTGAACATGACTTCCAAGACCTCAGCCTCCACGTACACACCATGAATATGAGGTGAACATGACTTCACGGACACACCTTGAATATGAAGTGAACATGACTTCCAAGACCTCAGCCTCCACGTACACACCATGAATATGAGGTGAACATAACTAAATGTTTATCGAGCAGGTACTCACTCATTTCCATTTGAATACAATAAAGGAAACGTAACTACCTTTAGGCAGAAACAAACAGTGTGTACGGCACGTAATTATCATGCTTGACATGTAATTATCAGTACGGCACGTAATTATCATGCTTGACATGTAATTATCAGTACGGCACGTAATTATCATGCTTGACATGTAATTATCAGTACGGCACGTAATTATCATGCTTGACATGTGCTACCTCAAATAAACTCCCATTCACAGTTCTTCCCTTTGTTTTATCTCATAAGGTTAAACAAAATATTACATTTACGAACGAGTTAAAGGAGACATTGTCAGCTGCAGTGTGGAGCCTTGATCCCAGCAGCCCGCAATGTGTTAGCTGCAGTGTGGAGCCTTGATCCCAGCAGCCCGCAATGTGTCAGGTGCAGTGTGGAGCCTTGATCCCAGCAGCCCGCAATGTGTTAGGTGCAGTGTGGAGCCTTGATCCCAGCAGCCCGCAATGTGTTAGGTGCAGTGTGGAGCCTTGATCCCAGCAGCCCGCAATGTGTTAGCTGCAGTGTGGAGCCTTGATCCCAGCAGCCCGCAATGTGTTAGCTGCAGTGTGGAGCCTTGATCCCAGCAGCCCGCAATGTGTTAGCAATCACTCAATTAAGCAAAAACATTATTTATATATGGTTGTAAGTTTCTAATTTAGTTTACACAAGGGTTCAGTACATTATCTTCATACAAGACATAATGATGGCATAGCACGTAATCATTGTAATTATATGCTGTATAATCTACATTCAGATTTAGATTTAGAAGCTTCGTTTCTCAGTGATTTAGAAAAATCCTTCAGCAGTGGTCAGCTACACCTCAGAACGCCAGTACAGCAGACGGCAGCCAAGGAGTCCTCGACGATATCTGCGGCCGCTTATTTATCATATAATTTGTATACGGGAAATAATAGGGTGAATCTCTCTCTTTTTTATATATAACTCTATGAAGAAATTAATTGGCATATGAGGGCGGTGAACGAAAGAGTCGAGAATCTGAGCGGTGACTTTAGGGGGATGACGGTCATGTTTATGGTCACTGTAGATTTCAGGATCTAGAGATCAGTAACTAGATATCAGGAACGGCAGCAGGACGATAACAGTTGATAGAGGTATTGTGACTCATAATAAATATCAAGTTGTAAACCAAGAGGATATGACCAAAGTATATTTATATATTCTATAGACCAAAAGAAGGCAGGAGTTTTGATGGAGGAATAACAGAAGGTTATTATTTTCGAGTGCAAATACTTGTGTAGTTAGAAAATGTTACACATTAACTAAACATTAACTGCCTACGGTGGCTTCTAGCATGAGAAGAGCAAGTTTTATGCTAGGCTGGGGAATATTAACCCCAATTCTATGATTAATCAAACGAAACCTGCTTTCGAACAAATCCACAAGGGCTTAATCGATTAATCGACTTAATGAAAGTCGATTAAGGGCAAATCCTTAATCGACTTTCATCCAGTGGTTTTGGGCGGATCCCAGGTTAAATAATCTCCTTTAGCATATCGCGGTCCATTGGATTAAGACCAGGGGTTACCTAGGACGATAGTTCGATCCCCCGTACTACTCTAAAAGATTTTCTCATAGATATATCACGTTAATATGATTTCCTTGTGAGTTTGAGCATAATATCTTAGGCTTGGTCTTGGTGACGAACACGGATCTATACATCTTATGTTTGGTCGGGAGGAAAATCGGAAATCGTGACCATTACAATGTTAAATTCACTCTCATATTACCGCCACTTTTTTAGTGTAATTAACTAAGTGTCTGAGTGGTAGAACTACTCTGAGCAATACTCTTACCGGCTGCTGTTAACACGAGATCTTGACATCTACTGAGACATCCAGTTCACACTAACTTGGCAAAGAATAAATTAAATGAGACAATGTGAAGTAGATAAAGGCGTGTATCGTGTCCTGTTTAGTAACCGTAACAAAATGTACGCAACTGAAAGTTTCCGAGTCTTTGATAAGTATGTGTTTGATAAGTTTCCGAGTGTTTGATAAGTATGTAACAATATATTTGTCGGCATTGAAGAGGATACTTGTCATCACATTAGTTTAATTGAAATTAAGTTAAGTGATGATAAGTGTATGTGTGTGTTTCGATGCCACTAAACGTAATGTATAAAATCTGCCACTGAAACTATTTTAAAATTATTTTATAATAGATTTGTTTCATATATTTGGGAAAGCCCCTGCACAGCGCTACAACCACATCATGGTCATTCCCACACATGGAATATATGCACTGAGAGGTGTACATTCACAGTTATGTACTCTGAGAGCTTACTTCAGTCTTCAACCTTATTAAGAACTAAAATATTCTTGCTGGTTGAAGTGTAAGCGAGGGGTGACTTAAGTAACCCGTGAGGTTAACAGACCTTGAGCCCAACAACAAGTCAAATTATACCATGTTATTCTTGAAGAAGCCTAGTTCGTTGAACATATTGAAGCATAGGTTCTGACCTTGGCCGTTTTCTATGCAACTTGTTCGTAGTCTTCTCCCTGCCTAAACGTTGTATTAGCAGGTGTTGTGTTGAAAGGTAACATGTGCCACTTCTACAACATTATAGGCAAATACATTTTTTTTTCCTTTCTTTCTGTTGCATCTCTTTCCTTTTCAGCTTTATAATTCAGCACATCCTCCTGTTTTCGTAGTACTTATAGTAACGATGAGGACCATGGTATATATACCGACGTACAACGTAATTAGTTAGAAAGAAGAAATCGGCACTATTGGTTGGACAAACCGGAAAACCATTTTCTACTTTTGTTGCAAAGACAAACTAACCTAACCTAACCTCCCTATGCCTAATACACGATATCTGAGGCCTAATATAGTACATATGCGTACTATACTAGGCCTAGGAATACTTAATTTAGTTTTTTTAGCTTCATTTTTTCCGACTCTATAAAGTGAATAGTACAAAGTTTTACTATATAATTGAGAATGGGGTTGAATAATTTTACTTAAATCAGTAAAATGTCTCCCCGCAGTCCTGTCCTGACTTTCCTAGAGGCAATAATTTCAGTCCTTTGAGTCATTCTTACTAATACTTATTTTTTAATGGTGGTATGAGTTTATTTACAAATCTCCATTTTCTCACTTATTTTAAATGTATCTGGTTCGTGGACCAAAATAGTATGGTGACGTCTTAACTCCGTTCTAACACAGGTTCTATAAACAGTGAACATTAGTTATTGTGGGTTTTATTTAATAGAAACTTAGTAGTTTTGGGAATTTATATTTTGTTTGCCTTACTTCTCGCGGCTCGACGGCTTTTGGGTGCATTCGAGGTGGTTACTATTGATCACTCTAAAGGTCATATTCATTTATTTCAGTAAGTGGTCCCTATAACTACTTCAGTAGTTAAGTATAGCTTTTCTCAAATTACCATATTTTAACCTTTTTCATTGTAGATCAGTTGGGTTTCTGCAACTTTTATTTGAATAATGAGAAGTATGGTGAGAGAGAGAGAGAGAGAGAGAGAGAGAGAGAGAGAGAGAGAGAGAGAGAGAGAGAGAGAGAGAGAGAGAGAGAGAGAGAGAGAGAGAGAGAGAATGTGAGAGAGAGAGAGAGAGAGAATGTGAGAGATAGAGAGAGAGAGAGAGAGAGAATGTGAGAGAGAGAGAATGTGAGAGATAGAGAGAGAAGAGAAAAGAGAGCAACGATTAATTTCAGGGAGCGTGAAGGCAGAGCCGCCTTAAGACACTGCTTGTCATCGTGCGGGGGCCAGATAATGGTAAAAGCATGGTCGCTCCAGACGTGTACTTAGCCTCCGCCGCGATCACTGTCATCACCTATCTTTATGCATCACCCACAGTGACATTATGACAATTAACGGAGAACCTGGTGATCAGTGCGTGACACGAGGGGGATGAGGATGGTGTGTGTGTGCGTGTACTCACCTATGTGGGGCCCGCAGGATCCTCCATGGGGCTTTTGGATCCCGCCTTTCTAGCCCCCAGGTTGTTTAAAGCAATGACCCCTATCATATCTGGGTTTATTAAGTGTTATTGTTTAACTATAATGTGTGTGTGTGTGTGTACTCATATAGTTGTGCTTGCGGGGGGATGAGCTTTGGCTCTTTGATCCCGCCTCTCAACCGTCAATCAACTAATGTACAGATTCCTGAGCCTACTGGGCTCTTATCATATCTACATTTGTGTGTGTGTGTGTGTGTGTTGTGTGTGTGTGTGTGTGTGTGTGTGTTGTGTGTGTGTGTGTGTGTGTGTGTGTGTGTGTGTGTGTGTGTACTCATATAGGTGTCCTCATCTAGATGAGTTTGCAGTTGCTTAGGAGCAGACTTAACCTTTTGATCATCAGTAGCTCAATATAGTGACTTTATTTTCAATCCTTTTCTAATCATATTTACATAGAAGGCGGTATATTGAACTAGCCTCAAAACTTCATTCTATCCATTTTATTTAGTCATCGCCCTTACACCGAAGTAGTTACTTCTGGCATCTCTGTGACTCATTTCAGTCCTCCCATTTGCATTTGTTCCATCTTTCTGTAGTGTCTTGCTTTGAGCATTGGTCAAAGCAAGACACAAATCTATCTAATCAATTTTCCTTAGAATCTTGTATGTCGTTATCATGTCTGCATTAATCCTCCTACTGTACCGAGACTCTCAACCTTGAATTAGCGAGTGAGATTTTTTGTTGTTGTGGTTTACGTGACAAAGTTTCAAGCTGGAGTGGTATCACGCTTTCCTGTGCTTCGTCATTGATCGTATTTATTATTGAAATTGTGTAGACTTTTCGGCCACGCCATTGTATTTTGCTGTGACTCCCAGCCATGATTTTTAGAATAATATTTTTTTTATATTCTCTCCTGACGTTTATGTTTAATTAGGTTGTTGTGTCACTTCTGAACAAATCCACAAGGGCCGTGACGAGAATTCGAACCTACGTCCAAGATCATCCCAGACGCTGCCTTTATCTAAATAAACTGTACATGTTTATAAACATGTATATATGTATACATGTTTAACGACAAAACACGACTGAGTTTTCAGTCGCATATAGTCCTGGGGACCATTCAGGCTTGTTCGCATGTATAAACATGTATAAACATGTATATAAACGACTGAGCTACGACCTCAGTCGTCCATTTGATATGCATCAAATGTTCAGTCGTTTTGTTCATTTGATTCATCACGCTATTGTGATTTGTGTGTAGTGTGTCACTTCTGATTCTACCTGTAGCTGGAATTGTGAAATCTCACTTATCCATCATTTCATATTCCTTGAGACACTCTAAACGTAAGTTAATGTCTCCTCTTTTATAGCTTCCAAAGAGGTCAGTTTTAATTATGTTTAGCTTCATACAGCTCATATCTCTCAGGTACGGTTGCTTTTGATAGCGTGTCGCTACACTCCTGGTGAATAACTTGGAGCTTGCTTTTGTCTGCGCGTGTAACTGTTAATATAGATATTATATATGTGTATAATATAGATATTATATATGTGTATAATATAGATATTATATATGTGTATAATATAGATATTATATATGTGTATAATATAGATATTATATGTGTATAATATAGATATTATATATGTGTATAATATAGATATTATATGTGTATAATATAGATATTATATATGTGTATAATATAGATATTATATGTGTATAATATAGATATTATATGTGTATAATATAGATATTATATATGTGTATAATATAGATATTATATGTGTATAATATAGATATTATATATGTGTATAATATAGATATTATATGTGTATAATATAGATATTATATATATGTGTATAATATATGTATACATATAGAAATAAGGGTATTTCTGAGCGAGTGTGTCTTGGTATAGTGTAGTTAAGTGTCCAACAAGAGTTACATCTTTCTAGTCTTTCTCCAGGCTTCTCATTATCTCTTATTCCTATCTTTTTTATCCTGCCCAAGCTCTTCCTCTGTCCTCATGTTCTTTAAATTTTTAATTATTTCTCTCGCTTCCACTTTGACTTACATTGACCATGATTTATTCCCTCCGCTTTTTATTTCCGTCTTCTCCCATATACACTTAAACACCATCATCCTACTCCTCGTACATCTCATCTATATCAAGTTCCTGTTGTTGTTGTTGTTACAGATTCAGCTACTCGGAGCAAATTCCAAGTAGCACGGGCTATGGTGAGCCCGTAGTGGACTTACCTGGCACAGGAGCGGGGCTTCCATCAAGTTCCTTCTCCTATCCCCTTTTATCGTCTTCTACCCCCCCCCCCCCCACTCTGTCCCGGGGAGAGGGATTCCACCGATTTAAGTAACACGAGAACTTCCCGTGACGAACCGATCCTGTTGATCACTCTTCCCGATAATATTCCCACTTTTCCCATCTTTTTTTTACCCCCCCCCCCCAAGCATTTAACTAACCATCAAATTATAGTGTTGTACCTTGCATTCAAGACTCAGGGGAATTACAAGCAATTCTCAAATAACAAGGAACGCTCGACTAGGGCGAGATATGCTTAACGTAAATACTGCTGTCGCATAACGGTTGCCAGTTATTGTTGAGAATTTGTGTTCCAAGTTGGCCTTTTTCCCCTGGAGGATTTTGCTGCTTCTTATCGTCGCTATAATCATAGATGATTTACAGTCACTCCTACGCGGTGGTTTGGCCGGTATTTTATATGGAAACCACAGCCAGGGGAGCAATTGTCGGGAGTGCGCCTGTAAATACGTAACAACGATGGAATCATGAAACATTATTCTAGTTAACTTCTCGCAAGATCAGCATAACGATCGCTATTACATGACTGTGTAAGGTGCGTATGTAGATATCCTATTTTCACGGAGTATCGCTAACGCTTCCGTGTGTGTGTGTGTGTGTATATATATATGCATGTTAAGCTAATATAGAATGAACGTCCAATCAAACTGTAAGAAGAAATGAAGATGGCTACTCGACTTCACCTCAAGGAAATGCAAGGTAATGAAAATAGGAGCCGAAACGAGGAGAACTTAGATCTAGGATATAATTAAAAAAGAAAAGAGGGGGGTGAGACAGTTTCTGAAACTGGAAAAGGAAAAGCATCCATACAGTATGCCAAGTACCGAGTCTGTCTCCACGAGGCATATCACGGCCCTTGCTGGTCGATTGGATGGACTCACACTACGCCCAGGGAAAGATAGCAAACAAGTGGCTTCGAACTACACTTCTGTATCCACTTTGGCAGCCACATGCATTACCTCTTACGTCATGACCAACTTACGTAATGGTTCCAGGCTCATCGAGCCAACATGAGACCCTAGAGCAATGAGATTCCTTTTCCCGCGCTTCAGTGTGGCTACCCAAAGGGGAAATGCCCACTACTTCTTCCTCGGTTCTGCCCTGCATATAATATATATATATACATATATATATATATATATATATATATATATATATATATATATATATATATATATATATATATATATAAAGATGCGAACAAGATTGACTGGCTCCAGGCTAATACATATGTATGTATATACACAGATATGCACGCATAAAGCAAGTGAGGTAGTAAATGAAAGCGCAATATGAGAGAGAGAGAAGAGTCACACCATTAAACATTCATATTCCTCCACGTTACAAGTCGTTGTGCTATTTCCACGAGTCCATTAAGACCATGGACGTGATAGCGGGCCAGGCCCCGGCCTCGTAGACCTGATCTGCAGCGCAATGATTTCGAACGCAAATTTGAGCCAATCTGCGTGCCTTTAGCTCTCTCTCTCCCGTCATCCAGGCAGTTTCTCTTGCGAGTGATGATTAGTGGAAATGTCATTATTGCCTATGGCAACTTCTGTTTTATTGAGTTAAATATTCTAGAAATATTTGGTTTGGAGAATTCTTATATGGTAAGATTTTCTATTCGTTAGGGATAACACAATTAACTTTATATAAAAAGACTGCTCAAAGGCTTATAAAATAATAGGATAAATAATTGAATAGATTTATTTTAAGACATTAGTATGTACTCGTTTGCATTACTGTTGTGCTCGCTTATACCCTTGAGAACGTCACCATCACTATATATACTCCATCCTAGTAACTTGTCTCAGACTTTCCAGTTGATTTTGGTGTTTATGGAACTATTTTAGTGGATATCTATTTCTTTCTATCATCATCATCATCACCTTTTTTCCTGATGGAGACATTTCTCCATCAGGAAAAAACATTTTCCGCAGGAAAATGCATTTCTCTTTTCTCCGCAGGAAAAAATGCATTTTCTCTTTCCTGCATCAGAGAAATATGAGAAAAAGGTCGTGGAAAGTAAGAACAAATCGTTAACAAATGTTAGACATTCATCTTTATCAGATTGAACACCCTCAAACTCGTTCCCAATTTTCTTCCGTCTTATTGTTGACAACTTGACAACCTGACGCTTCCTCACACATGGGTTACGAGGAAAGACGGCGAGAGATGCACCTTATGACTAGGTGAGTACACACACACACACGCACATACACACACACACACACACACACACACACACACACACACACACACACACACACACACACACACACACACACACACACACACACACACACACACACATATCTCCATCTTCTTGGCCATTCTTTACTAATTCTATCATTACAGGAATACTCCTTTTTTTCCTCTATCATACATTCATTGCTGATGACAGACCGCCTGGGCAAGCTCTCTCCAGTCTCACAATCTGTCGACTTTTGCACTTTTGTCTAACTTACGAAAACCACACATGCTCGATTATCCATCTATATTTTTACAAGACTTTTCATATTTATGCTACACGAGTATACCATTTCAATACTTAAGGGTTGGCACTTCCACTCCATCATGCATCTCTCGTAGCCACACCTCTCCTTATGATCTTCCCTAACTAGAGCTTTCATTACACCAGACACCTTCCTTCCCTGACTCATTCTGCTCCCAGCTCCACTTGCACAAATTCCTCTTGTCACTCGCACACACCAGGCATTTAAACTTAACAACATATCTCAGGTTTCAGAACATCTCCATTTATCCTGATTTCACACTCGGTTACCTTCTATCTGCACCACCAACACCACCCTGAGGTAAATAGACATGATGGAGAAAGACAACCTTATTATGATGAGATAAAGTAGGATAGGAGGATATAGGAGGAAGATCTATCATACATATAGTAATACTATATCCTGTACAAGTGTTAACAGCTGGAATGCACTGAAAGAACAAGCCGTGAAAGCCAGTTCAATGAACAGCTTTTTCAAACCAGATATTAAAAGTATTAGATTCGAAAGTTAAGTTAAATTATAACACAACAGGTACAACAAAAATGGGGCCATGAAAAGCTATCAGTCACAAATAGGTAAGCACTGATAGGCAAGCAACACCACCACCATTACTCTTTTGTTTACATTAACAAATATTAGTCTTCTCATATACCTTTCAGGTAGACAGTCAACACACACCTACATCTCCCTGTTATACTTTAATATTTACATAATTTGCGTTCACCAAACTAGATATATAACAAGAATTATCATCATACACGAAGCTGAATATACCTACTCTGGCCTCTCTTACGGCTGATTTTATATGCGACTTAGTTCGTTCAGCTAACCAGCTCAGCCTCTTCCTAAACTCTAAAGAACGTTTGCTTACGTTCCATGAATCAGATATAGAAGTATAAAGTATAGGAAATTTATAAATTATTTTAAATATACAAAGCAAGTAAAGAGAGGCTATGAGGTTCCTAATTGGTCCATTATTCTAAGAAATTGTATAGGTTATATATCAATGTCACTGTATTTATTGACAATATTCCAAAGATATATTTAGAGTAAATGTTCTTATCAAATAACTATCAATTCTAATGCACTCGATGCTGAACACCTAGATGCACTCTCTCAACACGTAACTTGCGCACATATAAGAGTCTCCAAGTACTCTCTTGGAGTGCAGAAAGGTAATTAACAAACTTATCTTGGAGTGCAGAAAGGTAATTAACAAACTTATCTTGGAGTGCAGAAAGGTAATTAACAAACTTATCTTGGAGTGCAGAAAGGTAATTAACAAACTTATCTTGGAGTGCAGAAAGGTAATTAACAATTGCAAGGAAGGACAAGGAAGCATCAGACAGGGACAAGGAAGCACCAGACAAGAACAAGGACAAGGAAGCACCAGACAAGAACAAGGACAAGGAAGCACCAGACAAGAACAAGGACAAGGAAGCACCAGACAAGAACAAGGACAAGGAAGCACCAGACAAGAACAAGGACAAGGAAGCACCAGACAAGAACAAGGACAAGGAAGCACCAGACAAGAACAAGGACAAGGAAGCACCAGACAAGAACAAGGACAAGGAAGCACCAGACAAGAACAAGGACAAGGAAGCACCAGACAAGAACAAGGACAAGGAAGCACCAGACAAGAACAAGGACAAGGAAGCACCAGACAAGAACAAGGACAAGGAAGCACCAGACAAGAACAAGGACAAGGAAGCATCAGACAGGGACAAGGAAGCACCAGACAAGAACAAGGACAAGGAAGCACCAGACAAGAACAAGGACAAGGAAGCACCAGACAAGAACAAGGACAAGGAAGCACCAGAGACAGACAAAGACGCACCAGACGGAAGCACCAAAGAGAGTGAAGCATCTTTTACAAGCTAGTTGTTTTCTCAGCCAACAACGGCAGCTCTTAACACTTCCACCGTAATGTTGTGAAATTATTTATCATTCCTAACATTTGTATTATTATTATTATTATTATTATTATTATCTGCTCTTAAAATACTCTCAACTTTAAGCACCAAATCACGCATATTAAGATTCGTGTATGAAAATGTTTTCCAACTTCATGAATGTACTTATTCTTTCTCGTGAATGATGTTGAGTGTTTCAATGTGAGAGGTATTATTGTAAAATGTTGCGATATATATATATATATATATATATATATATATATATATATATATATATATATATATATATATATATATATATATATATATATATATATATGTGTGTGTGTGTGTGCACTCACCTAGTTGTACTCACCTAGTTGTGTCTGCAGGATCGAGCATTGACTCTTGGATCCCACCTTTCGAACATCGGTTGTTTACAGCAATGACTCCTGTCCCATTTCCCTATCATACCTGGTTTTAAAATTATGAATAGTATTTGCTTCCCCAACCTGTTCCTGAAGTGCATTCCATTTTCCCACTACTCTCACGCTAAAAGAAAACTTCCTAACATCTCTGTGACTCATCTGAGTTTCCAGCTTCCATCCATGTCCTCTCGTTCTGTTACTATTCCGTGTGAACATTTCGTCTATGTCCACCCTGTCAATCCCTCTGAGTATCTTATACATTCCTATCATGTCCCCCCTCTCCCTTCTTCTTTCTAGTGTCGTAAGGCACAGTTCCCTCAGCGCTCCTCATACCCCATCCCTCGTAGCTCTGGGAAGAGTCTCGTTGCAAACCTCTGAACCTTTTCCAGTTTCATTATATGCTTCTTCAGATGGGGACTCCATGATGAGGCGGCATACTCTAAGACTGGCCTTACGTAGGCAGTGTAAAGCGCCCTAAATGCCTCCTTACTTAGGTTTCTGAATGATGTTCTAACTTTTGCCAGTGTAGAGTACGCTGCTGTCGTTATCCTATTTATATGTGCCTCAGGAGATAGATTAGGTGTTACGTCCACCCCCAGGTCTCTTTCACGCATCGTTACAGGTAGGCTGTTCCCCTTCATTGTGTACTGTCCCTTTGGTCTCCTATCTCCTAGTCCCATTTCCATAACTTTACATTTGCTCGTGTTGAATTCCAGTAGCCATTTCTCTGACCATCTCTGCAACCTGTTCAGGTCCTCTTGGAGGATCCTGCAATCCTCATCTGTGTGTGTGTGTGTGTTCTCTAAAAGTTCAAGTTCGTTCGAGTGAACTTGACTTTTGGAGAACTCCTCTTCCAATTAAACCCTGATGCAAGAGCACAAGTCAGAGGGATAGAAGCCCTAAACCAGAAAATAATCAATGCAGAATATGCAGTCATATTCAATGAGACATATATATATATATATATATATATATATATATATATATATATATATATATATATATATATATATATATATATATATATATATATTAAAAACTATGTAAGACAGTATTCATTCTGCAAAGTTACTTGTAACTTTATAACGAGATTTACATCCTTTGTTGATTCATCTCATTAACGTATCTGACGGAATATATTCTGTCGTGCTCCAGCGTCTGTGGTCAGGTTATACAGTGTCCTTCATCAGTCATATTTCAACACGTGTGTCTTTACGCTAAGAGGTCACTTCACCGTGTGTGTTTATGATTCAGGTAAGAGGCAGTCTTTGTTGAGGATGGCTAATGCTCGTTAGTTTTTGTGGTGATAAACCTTTATTTAGACTATAAACTCTTGACACTCTGATGTTAGTGTCATAATTATTTTATGCACATCCCTTTAGAAATTAGCAGTATTCGTATTAAGATTTATTATTTGTATTAATGATAGTAGATATTGTAGTTATTGAGTTGTGCTTCACTACTCTTGGGGAGAGAGAGAGAGATAGAGAGAGAGAGAGAGAGAGAGAGAGAGAGAGAGAGAGGAGAGAGAGAGAGAGAGAGAGAGAGAGAGAGAAGAGAGAGAAAGAGAGAGAGAGAGAGAGAGAGAGAGAGAGAGAGAGAGAGAGAGAGAGAGAGAGAGAGAGAGAGAGAGAGTTTACACCATCATTAGGGTGACTCAGGTTAGCATTCTTTATTAACGCTGAACCTGTCTTGCCTCTCACACGGCAAGAATATTCAAGATTTAAGAAACAAGTCTTGAGTATTTACCCAGACACTCATATACCTATGTGTGTCCTATGCACACTCACTATGTGTTATCGTAGCATATACATATCTATGATAATATCTCATCTCTCTCACACACAACTCTCCCGGACTTTTGCTCTCCCACTCTCTTTCTTGTCTACCTCAGCCCTTCATTTTTGTTATGCATTCTCTCCCACATTTATTCTGTGTGCGTGCTTGCCTCACCCCTCAGCCACATCCCGTGCATAACATGTGGCTCAGGGAAGCTTTGTCCTTCGGCTTCTTCGTTACTTATCACACACCTGCATACCAATATTATCTTATGTTTGTGTTGGTATTTATGTGTGCGTGTGTGTGTGTGTGTTTATATATATATGCATGTGTTACATATAATATATAATATACGTTTATTATATATATGAGTTTTTGTGGTGATAAACCTCCTTGTTCTCTTGAAAATCTCTTTGTTCGAGGTTCGAAACTTGGTGCTAACCTCAAGAAACTTTACAGGGTGACAAGTAGTTGTTGGGGATGATCATAAGGCGTCGAAATTTGTCTATAATTATATATTTTTAACTTAACCATCAAACTGAAAGATGATGCATTTATAACAACGGCTTATTGTAAATGAAATATATCTGAATGCCCCAATCTGTTCACACGACGTGTGCTCAATACTTACAAGAGACGGGCCATATACATGTATTTTTCCTTGGAGCTATATAAATATATACAAATATTTAGATTTGATAGATATATAAAAATCTGGCGTCAGTTTTATAATCAAGAAACTCCTAAATTCGACGACACGGACACCAGTCACGAGGTTTAGTAATGATAGTAATGAGCTGATGATATATATATATATATATATATATATATATATATATATATATATATATATATATATATATATATATATATATATATATATATATGTGTGTGTGTATATCACGAAAATAAACACGTGATTAAGAATGTGACAATGTCAGACCACGGAGGAAAAATGAAACAGGAAATTTCCTTAAGTACTTTCGTATATTAAATACATCTTCAGAAGGACCTTCTGAAGATGTATTTAATATACGAAAGTACTTAAGGAAATTTCCTGTTTCATTTTTCCTCCGTGGTCTGACATTGTCATATATATATATATATATATATATATATGTGTGTGTGTGTGTGTGTGTGTGTGTGTGTGTGTGTGTGTGTGAGAAAGCTGCATGAACGCGCAAGCCATAGATCACTAAGAACTCTTTGACCCGGCCAGGATTCGAACCCATGCCGTCCAGGATCACCCCTAAACGTACACAGTGCCGTGACCAACGCACCGATGATCGTCTTAGACGATCATTGGTGCGGTGGTCACGCTGAGGTGAGTCACGGTCATTGGTGAGGTGATGTATATATATCACCTCCGCTTCCAACATCATTACGACCTCCGTCATCATCACCACCTCCACCCACATGTATCACCATCACCACCTCCACTACCCTCTACCACCATCACCACCTCCACCCCATGTACCACCATCACCACCTCCACCCACATGTATCACCATCACCACCTCCACCCCATGTACCACCATCACCACCTCCACCCCATGTACCACCATCACCACCTCCACCCCATGTACCACCATCACCACCTCCACCCCATGTACCACCATCACCACCTCCACCAACCTCTACCACCACCACCACCTCCACTACCCTCTACCACCATCACCACCTCGACTGCTCACAGACAGTCCTTCAGTGTGTCCATATTCTAATGTAAATGCTCAGAGGTGGAAGGATGAGTTTTGTTTATGAGAATATTTATATGTTGTTTGTGTTGGGAGAATATACCTGGCAGAGGGAGCGGGTATACCTCGGCTTCTATCCAAACATATCTAGTAATAATATATTATTCCAATGAGTCCGGGTTGTAAAGCAAGTCCCGAAATAAAATGAATTACTGAGAATGAGTCCCTAAAGATCATAATTTACGAAAATAAACGCACTTTATAAATTTCAGTGAGCTGAAGAATAGTGCAAAGTTCCCCTCTAATAATGAACATTATATAAATAAATATTGAACTACCCTCTCTATTCGGAGCATTTGTAAAGTGATGCACTTAACACACATTAATCTAATAACTATGATAACTAAAAGATAACACAAAAGTTACCAAATAATTCAATAACACCAAAAAAGTGGAGGTACCTGAAGCCATTGTGTGTTTCGTGAGCAAGACTGCAATTATCAATCATTTTACCTGCCCACATTTACTGCCTCTTTACGCGGCATTATGTTTACGGGCTCACCATAGCCCGTGCTACATGGACACTTCGTTCTGAGTATGTTGTTGTTGTTTAAGATTCGCTACTTGGAACAAAAAGTTGCAAGTAGCACGGGCTATGGTGAGCCCGTAGTTAAATCTAAAACAACAACAATAGCGGTATTAATACCTGTTCTCTAATGATGACTTAATCATCGTCACCTGTCCAGTAACCCCCTTACCTCACCCCATAATTGTTACAATACTCGTGTCTACACAGTGGTATTGTGTAGCCTGGGATAACAAAAGCACCTGGAACGTTGATATAAATGTAAATAAAAAGAAAAATTGAAGCCCATTTTTAATTCATTATATAATACAACTCTTCAATGCAGGCGATGAGTCACAATAACGTGGCTAAAGTATGATGACAAGACCACACACTAGAATGTGAAGAGACGTCGTCGTCGTCGTCGTCGTCGTGGTCTCTTCACATTCTAGTGTGTGGTCTTGTCAACAACTCTTCAATGTCCAGAAAGCACATTTGAAGTTAATTGATTCAAGTTACG